CAGCCAATATTTTTTTAAGAAAACACCGCACTATGAATACGTTTTTTGTTAGCGTAACAACATCATAACATGTCTACAAAAATATGTCAGAATTTTGTTCGGTATCTCGGCTGTAGAGACTTGCATTTATCGTAAGCATCGTTACGGCAAACATTTTTTTACGTTATTATTTAGCAATCGGCAGTTAGCAATGGCGTTGTTATCTATGTCGAGACTGCAGGCACAGGTTATTAAAACTAACAACTATCGGAACTACATCCTAAGGGATGGCACCGTCGACATTTGTCGAGCTTGTCGCCATCCCGGTGAATCACTAAGGCATGTCATCTCCGGTTGTTCGGCGCTTTCTAACTCTGAGTACTTGCATAGGCACAACCTAGTAGCTCTTAATACGGTCTGGTGGATCGGAAACTGCCTTATTATAAGTACATGCCGGAAGCCGTGCTCGAAAACGACCGCGCCAGGCTCTACCGGGACCGGGCCATCATCACAGACAAGACCATTCTTGCGAATAAACCTGGTATTGTGCTGATGGACCGGGCAAAGTCAAGGATATTTTTGGGCGACATTACCATTCCGTATGACAAGAACCTCGTGAAAGCCGAAACAGATAAGCGAACAAAATATCTGGACCTGGCTCACGTGGTGACCGACATGTGGGGTGGACTGCTGTGAAATTATACCTGTTTCTACGATAGAGAATGTACTTGAGCTGTACAAGGTTGAATGTACAGTTAGAGACTTCCTTGTTCAGTGTATGGGGCAGTGGAGTACGATCCTGTAGATAACAGGCAGGCGGACGAAGGCTGCGGAAAGTTGCATAAGGATAAGAAGGGTATTTTCCATGACGACCCTCTCAGTACCTTACTGGAGGGCTACAGAAGAAGACTTCAGCTTCGGAAAGGAGGGACAAAAGTGAACCATCTTTTTATATGAACGATCTCAAGTTATTCACCTCCAATCGCTGCCATTGTGAGTTTAGCAATTCTAGTAGATTAGAGCTGGGGACGAAAAAGTGTGTGGTTTTCCATGACGAAAGGGATGGGGTTGCTAACTCTTAGGGTATAGACTTATGAGGATACTTTCGGAGGCTGAAACATACCGATACCTGAGTATGTCACGGAACATAGGTATCGATGCGGCGTTTATGAAACAGTCAGTTTGCGATGTGTTTTATGCACGCTTGACCAAAGTGCTTATGAGTATTTTGTCGGGAGTAAATAAGACACACGCATATAACGGTTGGGTTATGCCTACCCTCATGTATACCTTTGGCATACTCAGGTGGACTAAAACTGAACTTATTGGCCTAGATAGCAAAAAACCGCACTAACATGACGTCCCATAGAATGCATCATCTGAGATCGTCGGTTTCGAGGCTGTACTTGCCGCGAAAGCATTGTGGGCGTGGCTTTTTAGCGCTCTCACCATGCATAATCGCGAAATGTGCAGCCTTTGTAATTTGTTACGTGGTAGCGCCATGCTGCAGCTATAACTTGTAGCACGAATGGGTCGGCTCGACCGGGGAAAGACCACGCTCTCACAGAATACCAGCGTAAAATAGCAGCTTAATGCTGCTGTGTTTCGTTTGGTGAGTGTAGAGAACCGGAGACCCTTTTTACTGGAAAAGAGGCATTCCATCTTAGTCCTCACGGGTGACAACGCATCTGCATTTGGATTCTGTATTGAGGATAAATGTAGATGTATATGGGCCACAGCAACCACTTACCATCAGGTGGACTGTGTGCTCGTTTGTCACTCGACCTATAAAATAAAAATAAATTACTTCCTGATGAGATCGGATGGTCCATTCTATTTGGACGTCATTTCTTGTGATAAATGCCTTACCCCTCTATCCTTAACCAACGAGCAAATGCAAGACCGGCATTACAGAGAATTTCCGACCGGGAGACCGTATAGAAAGAAATGGAGCTCCACAGGAGGTTCTATAGAATAGAATAGAATAGAATAATTTTTTATTCAATATACATTACATGTGTAATTCTTATTGAAAGTCATTTTTTACTTTACCACTGGTTCGAAAAAAAACCTCTCTTCTGGGAAGAACCAGCATGAAACCCAGCGGGACTTTTTTTAAAGCAAATTTTACATTAATGGTTGTACAAACTATATAAGTACAAAATTTATTTTAGAAACATTATTAAAATTAAAAAATATTAATATTAAATTTTGTTAGATGCAGTTTTAATTCTGTGGCGCACACTTTTTTAAATATTTTAGAATATGTTTTTACATAATCTCTAAATATGACACTAGTATTATATGATCTTTCATTATAAAACTCGTATAACGTTCGCCTACTTTTATAAATTCCTACTGTCGCCCATTCATTAAATGATTTGCGACTGTTAAAAAAGGAAGTTTTAGAAGTAAATATCCTACTAAATTCACAAGTTATAATTTTAAATAACGCACCATACAAATAATTAGCACTGTTTTTAAATGAAAGTGATGGAAGTCTTTTTATTATATTACTTCTAAACCTCTATAAGGCTCTTCATGAGACTTTCATAGACATAGTAGCCTCCCTTCACTGGGTACGTTTTGGTGACCTCTTTGGGGAAACCGAGGGTTTTGTGTGTGCAATACAGGATCAGGTTATTAAGACAATTAACTAACCGAGATACATCTTAAAGGATGGCACCATCGACATCTGTCGAGCTTGTTGCCATCCCGGTGAGTCTCTTAGGCATGTCATTTCCAGTTGTTCGGCGCTTCCGACCTCCGAGTCATTGCACAGGCACAACCTAGTAGTAGCCAGGATTTTACAACAGGAGCTCCTGGTGTAAACCTTCCTTCCCCATCGGTTGTCGGTTCTTCGTGCTATATGGCCGGCCCATTGCCACTTCAGCTTACTAATCTGCGGGTATCCTCGTTTTAAACGAGGATAACCCCATAATAGTAATAATAATAATTTACATAAATTGAATTGTACAGCGGTAATAATACATTGCTTACTAAGTTACGACCAACTTATCATAACACTACATTAAGAGCTTCTCCTAATGTAGGGTTGGAAGCAATAGCATTAGGTTTTTTTATAGAATAAGGGTAACAAATAGGAACAAAACATAATGCGTTGCCACCCCTGAGGACTAAGAAGGAATGCCTCGTTTCCAGTAAAATGGATCTCCGGTTCTCTACACTCACCATACGAAACATAGCAGCATTAAGCTGCTATTTTACGCTGGTATTCTGTGAGAGCATGGTCCTCCCCCGGTCGAGCCGACCCATTCGTGCTACAACTATACTACTAATATAGCTGCAGCATGGCTCTACCATGTAAAGATACGACAAAGGGGTTCTTTTTACCGGTAAACGCGCAAACTTGTGTCTTCTGGGGATTGAACTGGACTAGATTTAGTCGCCCCCAATCCGAGACTTTGTTCAGCAAAGACTCGACTTCAGACACAAGTTTGTCCCGGTACTTGGCGACGTTTTCCCGAGAAATATTGGCACGGCCGGTATATAAAGTATCACCAGTGCTGTCGTCTGCATAGCAATGAATGTTACCAGTTTGCAACATGGTGGACCAAAGCTGTCGTCCATGAATTCGGGACTACGCCTTGGGAGTAGGAGTACCGGAAAAGACGCGTTAGGACCGGTGCCAACTCCGGAGCACACGTCCTCACCACAATTGGAGGGATTCCGTCAGGCCCACTCGACTTCTGGATTTCCAGGGAGAGGAGTGCTTTGCGAACCGAGCGCTGTGAGAACAGCACATCTGGCATGGAGCACTCACACCACGGGATGGTCGGCGGTGTTTTCCCCCCGTCATCTAGAGTCGAGTTGGACGCAAAGAGAGAGCTCAACAGATCAGCTTTCTAATTTGCGGCATGGGTCAGTGAGTCGTCCTCTCTGTGCAGAGATGGAAGAGATGGCTGACAGAAGTTCCCTTGGACAGCCTTGGCGAGAGACCAGAATGCACGGGTTCCCGAAGTAAGGCGGACTAGCTTCTTGCCAATTCTGCCGATGTGCTCAGACCTTGCCTTGGCAATGACGCTTTTGAAGGACTGCTTATCGCTATAAGCAGGAGTGACCAAACCATGGCTGGGATCTGCCTCCGATGGGCACCACAGAGGATGAAACAAAAAGTTCCATACCCTGAAGTACCACATCAGGAACAGAATCGGCTCCGTGGCGCAGTGGCTTAGCAATCAGTTGTAGCGCTGGGGGCCGCGGGTTCGAATCCCGCACGGAACAAGTATTTGTATGGCCTACAAATAATTGCTCCGGGTCTGGATGTTTGTCCTTGTGCAATTTATGTTTGTAAACTGCCTCAACGACACAGGAGAAAATCCTAGTGTGGGGGTAACGTTTTTTAAAAAGATGATGAAAAAAGATGATGAAAAATCGGCAACAACGCTGGGATCTTCCGGCGAGAAGCAACTCCGCCCCTAAGGGTAGGATTCAAAAAAAGACCGCATCCCGTCCCAATCCGCCGATCTATAGTGCCAAACAACTCAAATTAAAAAAAAAGAAACTACGGTTGAGAACCCGCCTGCCAAGTGTAGCAACCATGGCAAAATCCTTCCTATAGGGCAATCTATGGGGAAGGCCAATGTTTAGCAGCGGACGTTTGTAGGCTGTAATCGATAGAATGGATCCATGGCTTTGCGTTCACCAGCTCACCAGCCAAAGAGTCTATAAATCACTACGTCTTCCGTTGTCATACGAAAGAGCAACATTGAGCTGCTATTAACTAGTCTGATATTCTGTGAGAGCATCGTTTTTCCCCGTTTATTATTAAAAATCTAACGATAATGTTCTTAAACGTCACTATAACTAATGTTGATTTTCCCCAAGACGTTATTCAATTAGCAGTAAAAAACTAAACAGCAAAACTTTACAAATCCGGTTCGTTACAGAAGCGCTAGTTTTAGAACATGTTCACCTCTAACATTAAAAATATCCAACCTAAAAATAATGAGTATAAATAAGCGTGCAAATAATGGGTTTATGTATAAAAAAATCCTCACGGGCCAGACTCCTCCAGCAGACGGTCGTAGTCAGGAGAGTGGCGGTCGAACGCCGCTGACGCACCCAGCGACATAGCTCGGGGACACAAGTCGCCTGAGCACCCCACTATCACCTGTGAATACAGATTTTTATTTTTATTTTGGGACCAGGAAACAACTTCACAGTAGGTTAAAAACAAATATTAATCTTAAAATTAAATTTAGTGAAGCCAGCACCACCAGACTAAGCCTCAGATAATTTATAGGATAAATTACAAAAGTGAGATATGTGAAAGAGGACTTAGCACATAATATGCAATATTACAAAAAATACTTAGTTTGAATTACTTAAACTTTAAACTATTAAAAGAATACTAATTTTAACAATTTGAGTAAACAAGAAATCAGCAATATCGAACTAGTTATGCAGTCTGGAAATAGCCGTAATACCTGTTGATCCCAAATTGTCCTGAATAAGCTTTTGATATTACAGTACTCGTAAACATAAACATTAATTTCTAAAAAAAACCATGATATTTGCAAGTAGCCATAATTTTACAATAACATGTTGACCACGAAATGTGCCGATTAAGCTTGTGATATTGGATTACTGGAAACATGTTATGAAGTGAACGTTACAGAAGACGCTGACTCCACTGTATAGGTGAAAAAAACGTGTTTGCAAAATTTTCTCCGTAAAATTTTAATATTTGAATGATTCTTATTGTTTACAACTCTTAAATATTGGACACTATTATAGTTTTTTCTTTTTTGTAAACTATTGGAGCTCACGTCCGTGCACCGTTGCGATCAGTTTGTGTATCTTTGTTTTCAACGACCAACAATGGTGTTGGTGAAGTGTGCTAACTGTAAGAAAAATATTACCAAAAAAGCGCCGGGCAAAACAGATGTAAATGACTTCCAAAAATGTTCTACAAAATATATAAATTACAATTACAATTATAGCAGTGAGTAGCAGATGTAATGCTAAATAACATTGTGATTTATGACTTGGTTACTAATGTTTACATAATATGTATAATAAATTATGTTAATTGTTTGCACGTAGTACGTGTTTCATGATGATTAAATTACGGTAAATTAAACGCGAAATAAACTGTTTTTGAATAAAAGAAGTCGCTAGTAGCTTCCTACTCATGTTTATTTACGTATGGTTACATTATGTTTAGCGTTATATTTTATGTATGGTTACATTGTTTATTGGTAATTGGTTGATACAGCGAACTGTCTTATTTCTACCGCCAATAAACAGTATCTGTATTGCTGTGTCCCGGTTTGAGGGATATAGAGAGTCAGTGCAATTGCAGGTTGTGACGCATTCTACCTTAGTCTTTATAGATGACGACGTATCTGCAGAGCGTACATGTCTGCATAGGTGTCTCTATAGGCTTCAGTGGGTACCAATCAACAGGTGGCCTGTAAGTTCGTTTGTCACTACAGTTTGATAAGGCGGCCCATACACCTATAATATAATTGTTTACTCAAATTTATTAATATCGTACAACTTTATTGAAATACTTCTGACCCTACACGTTTAACAATATGAAGGAAATAAAGTTGACGAGCCATTCGCGTCAATATATCCGTGCGAGCAAAACGTTTGACAACGGAGTATTCGCTGTTGGAAAATATTCATTATCATTACAGCCCTTCACAAGTCCACTGCTGAACATAGGCCTCCCCCAGGGAATGCCACAAAGCACGGTCCTGAGCCACCTGCATCCATCGACTTCCTGCATATCTTACCAGGTCGTCACTCCATCTAGTGGGGGGACGTCCTACACTTCGCCTGCCGGTACGAGGCTGCCACTCGAGAACCTTTCTTCCCCATCGGTTGTCGGTTCTTTGAGCTATATGGCCGGCCCATTGCCACTTCAGCTTACTAATCCGTTGGGCTATGTCGGTCACTCTGGTTCTACTGCGGATATCCTCATTTCTAAGTTTATCACGCAGAGAAACTCCGAGCATAGCCCTCTCCATAGCTCGCTGAGCGACCTTAAGCTTCCTTATCCGGGCAGCAGTGAAGGACCACGTCTCAGTTCCATATGTCATCACTGGCAACACGCACTGGTTGTACAGACTCGTTTTCAAGTTTTGAGGTATACCTGACGAGAAGATGTGCGGTAATTTCCCGAACGCTGCCCAACCGAGTTGAATCCGTCGATTGACCTCTCGGTCGAAGTTGGACTTACGAGTACCTAGTCGGACTATTTGTCCCAGGTAAACATACTCGTCAACAACTTCGAGCTTAGTGTTCCCAACAACTACCGGCATAGGTGTGACATGGACATTAAATATGATCTTTGTTTTGTCCATGTTCATCTTAAGACCTATCCGTTGGGAAACACTATTGAGATCATTGAGCATCGTGCTTAGGTCCTCCAGCGATTTTGCCATAAGGACAATATCGTCGGCAAATCGAAGGTGAGTGATGTACTCGCCATTGATGTTGATACCGTATCCTTTCCAGTCCAGAAGCTTGAAAACGTCTTCCAATGCAGCGGTGAAGAGTTTCGGGCATATGACGTTACCCTGTCTTACACCTCTCTGCAATTGGATAGGTTTCGTACTCTGGTTCTGTACTCGGATAGCCATCGTAGCCCTACTGTACAAGCACTTCAACACTTCGATATACCGACAGTCAACTTGGCACCGCTGAAAGGATTGCAGCACCGCCCAAATTTCGACGGAATCAAAGGCTTTCTCATAGTCCACATACGCCAGACATAGAAAAATATTACAAAAATGTTAATATATTTTCTACGCGGTACCATGAACTTGTGTTCAATCCTTAGATTATACAGAAACCATCGTAGCCCTACTCTACAAGCACTTCAGCACTTCGATATACCGACAGTCAACTTGGCACCGCTGAAGGGACTGCAGCACCGCCAAAATTTCGATGGAAGCGAAGGCTTTCTCCTAGTCCACATACGCAGGACATAGTGGCAAATTGTACTCCTCGGACTTCTGTATAATTTGCCGAAGGGTATGTATGTGGTCTATGGTGCTAAAGCCCTTTCGGAAACCGGCTTGTTCGGGAGGCTGGAAGTCGTCAAGTCTGCGCGCGAGACGATTCGTAATGACTCTCGAAAACAGCACGTAGACGCACTCGGAAGGGAAATCAATTTATAGTTCTTTAAGAGAGCGTTGTCACCTTTCTTGAGGAACAAGACCACCGCACTTCTGCTCCACGCCTCCGGTGTAATTCCACCATGGAGGATGGAATTAAAGAGCTTCTGAAGGACTTCAAGTACCGGTTTTCCACCCGCTTTCAGAAGCTCCGCTGTAATTCCATCCTCGCCTGGGGCCTTGCCGTTTTTAAGGTGCTGCAGAGCCATTCTAATCTCGCTCAGACTGACGTCCGGGATATCATCGGAATAATGTCGGATAACACTCGCTCTTGGTTCGTTACTCACGCTTGCGTGTGGCTCCAACGATGATGTGTACAGCTGCCCATAGAACCTCTCAATCTCCCTCAAAATCTCAGCTGTCCCGGAAATGACGCTGCCACACTCGGTCTTCAGCTTCAACAGTTGACTCCTTCCGGCAGACAGATCTCTAGCAAAGACTTTGGAGCCTGGTTCCGCTCGATCGCTTCTTCAATACGAGCAGTATTAAAGTTGCGTAAGTCCCGCCGCATACATTTGGAGATCTATCTGTTCAGTTGCCTGTATGCTGTCAAATCTACTGAAGACTGCAGCATCATATCCCGTCTAACAGCCATGATATTAAGAGTGTGATCGGAGAGTTTTTGTATTCATCTGCGGCGGGTCTTGCTAAACTTAGCTCCGACCGCATGGACAGTTTCCACGAGATTGTCATTCTTGTCGTCCACTGCATTGCAATCTTCTAGGCACTGTAAACGGTTTCGTAGCTCGAGCTGAAAGGTTTCGGGACTTTGGATTAGAGAACGAGGGGGACGGAGCGTTGACTTCATCAGTTGTGACCTCTCCAACTTGACGTTTAGGTTCAGTATGCCTCTCACCATTCGGTGATCGCTGCCGTTTTTCACCCTCGCGATCACTGAGACATCACTGAACAGTTGTCGTTTGGTCGCCATAATGAAGTCAATCTTATTTTTAGATGGTGGCACACGCGGTGATAGAACAAGTTGCCGGATTCGAGGATTACCGTGTCCTCCCCCTCTCTTCGGACCTCGGATAGTCCTATAACATTCAAGCGCAACTTGTCTATCTCTTCTTCCAGCTCCAGGATCTTCTCGTCAGTCCTCAGGGTGCGTGCGTTATAAGTTGCCAGGTCAAGTCGTCGTAGGTGGCAACCGAACCTCCACCGGAGATTCTTAGCACCCCTGCCCCGCCGTTACCATGGTCGCCACCGTAGCCAGGAATAGCGGTTCCGCCGGGGACTGGGGGCCGTCTCTTAGTAACTTTATCCATTTGCCCCCCAATATATATTGCCATAGTTGCCACGCTTGGCGAGTGGATTGGCAACCGCAGTTTTTTATTGTGATATTGCTGTTATCAGGAAGATGCTGCTGCCCATCTCCTGACTGTTTCCCACTGTCGCCTTCTACGACACCCACGGGAAGATATGGGGTAGTGGATATTCTTAACCGCCACTACACGGCATTATAAACCAACTTACTTGAGCAACGGTAAAGATCATTAAATCCTAGATTATTAATAATTAAATTGTTTAGCAAAATATAATGAAAAGTATGCAATGGAATACGGTATATAAATATATATTATATACAGAAACATACGTCATAATTAAATATAACGAATAACAAATATTTATTAAGCTAATACTAATAAATGTAACACCTTCTTCATTAATAAATATATAACATATTTGCACCGCATCACTCAGCAGGAACCTTGCGATAAATATTAAGATAAAAAGTATGAAAATATGTTGCGGCAATAAGCAATCAGGCGCAGAAAAATAATTGAAATATAGTGCATAATACCGATACAATTCATTATAAATTGTTCTAGAATAATATAAGTTTTTAAAGCATACTAAGCAGAAACAGAAACAGAAACTTTTTATTCAATATAGATTATAAATAATACTTATTGAAAGTCACTCTTTTGTTTAATTACCACTGGTTCGAAAAAAAAAACCTCTGTCCTGGGAAGAACCAGCAAGAAACCCAGCGGGACTTTTTTTTTTAAATAACAGCTTACAATCATGTATGTTCATGAATCAACAACACAACAAATTACAAATAGCTTGGTAGCGACCACCTCATTTCCAGGGGTTATTATCATATATAAATTCTTTAATATTATAATAACCCTTCTTAGTTTCATAAAGTTTTTGAACTTTGAGCAGGTCAAATTTTGTATATTTTCTGGAATTTTGTTGTAAAAGCGTATACATCGCCCCAAGAATGAATTACTGACTCGATGGAGTCGAGTAACTGGTACTACTAGCTTGTGTCTGTTCCTAGTATTTACAGAATGAATATCACTTATTTTTGTAAAACCACTTTTGCTTTTGTGTACGTACATTACATTTTCATAAATGTATTGAGAGGCCAAAGTTAATATATTAATTTCCTTAAATGTTTGTCGCAACGACTCTAGGCTTTAAATCATAAATTGCTCGTATGGCCCTTTTCTGTAAAACAAATATAACTTCAGTGTCAGCTGTGTGTCCCCGTGGTAAAATACCATACGACATTATGCTATGGAAATAGCTAAAATAAACTAGTCTAGCTGTTTCAACACTGGTAAGACTTCTAATGTTTTTTACAACACATGCTGCAGAACTAAGTCTGCTTGCCAGTTTTGATATATGGGGGCTCCATTGAAGCTTCGCATCTAGTGTGATTCCAAGGAAAATGGTGGTATCTACAAGACTCAGTTTCTCACCATTTAAAATTACATTAGTCTTTAACTGTTTGACATTTGGAGTCATGAATTTCATACATTTCATTCGTTTTAGTGCTATTTAAATGCATATTATTAACATTGAACCAATTTACTAATTTAGATATAGCATTATTTACTTCGTCATATTTTTGTAATTGTCGACTTAATTTTAAAATTAAAGAAGTGTCATCTGCAAATAATACTATATCATGGTTATCCCCTACTATGTAAGGTAAGTCATTAATGTACACAAGAAACAGAAAGGGGCCGAGAATTGAGCCTTGAGGCATGCCCATTTGTACCATCGACCCGGAAGAGCTCATACTGTTAACAGTGTCATTAATGACAACGTTTTGTGTTCTCTTACTTAAATATGAAATAATTATTTAAGAGCATTACTTCTTACACCGTAGTGTTGAAGTTTCCTGATTAATGTTTCATGGTGAACACAAACGAAGGCTACGCGGCTAAATGCTCTTTATAACGTGTCTCGAAATTGTGACCAGTCTGAGTCAGTGGGTAGGCGGGCGTTGCGCGGCGGTTTGTTTTTAATTTTATAAACGGCTGCGTAAGTCCGGTGGTGATTGGTCGCATGTTTTATCGCATGACGCAGTCGCTCGCTCCTTAAGTAGAGAGCGGTTGCGTCATCGGTCTGTATAAAAGGCACTTGTTTTGGCTCACCACTCACTTAGCGGTTAGCCACCGTAGTCTATATCACCTGAGGATGCCTCGTGTAGAGGCGAAACACATGTCGTATTGTCGTCAGTGGTGTGTCTTGCCTAGTGTAGTGGTGTTGGAAGTAGCGGTGCTGGGATTAGTGGTGACGGGGATAGTGCACGCAATTGAGTGAGGGCGGGAGGTGCTCTTCATACTAAGTAAGACACATAATTTTATTTTATAACGCGGATATTTGCGAAGTCAATTTTTCTAAAAGCTTTTATATAATGGATTTCCGCAAAGTAACGCCTGATTCTATTAATTAAAAATAATAGTTAAATGAGGCGCGATTGGGTCTATTATAGATGCAATAACTTTAACGGAAATCCCCCACAGATCCGCAGTTTTCTTAACATCAATAGTTTTAAAATATTTTACAATATCTTTTGATGATATTTTATGAAGTGTAAAATTCTTTGTACACGCATTTACATTTTGTTTAAGTAATGGTTCGGCGACGGCAGGAGAAGAATTCAGTGACTTAGTGGTTAATATCGGAATACCAGTAAAATATTTCTCAAAGACCATTGCAACGTCCTGATCTGATTCAGTTAATTTGTTGTTAACACTTAACTGGTAGATTGAATTGCGAGAGTTGATCTTACCAGTTTCGCTATTAATTATACTCCATGTCATTTTAATTTTATTAGAAGCCGTCTTAATTTTGTTGCTCAAATACAAAGACTTGGCTGTGGAGCACACTCTTTTAAATATTTTTGAATATTTTTTTACATATTCCCTAAATTCGACGCTATGATTATATGATCTTTCATGGTAAAGATCATATAACCTATGTCTGCTCTTATGGACTCCTAAAAATATTAAATATTTATGAAAAAAGGTTTTATTTTTACAGTAACTATTATAGGCTAATCGAAGCCAGCACTATTGACGCCTCGACGCACTCTTGCACTCCGCAGTAGTTGATCACGCAACGAACGCCGCATCAATCGCACCACTAACGGCCGCGGTTTAGCTATACCTTCTCCATCGACAGGGCTGCGTGGCGGTCCCATACGCTCCGCGATAACAATATCCTCCTCAGATAACTTCGCAGCCAGTTTTTCAGCTACAAGAATTGCGAGGTGTGTCGGGTTTTCGGCCGTTGTTATTCATTCAAGTTGTTCTTTATCACGGTCATTTAGCTCCATTTTAAGACATTCCATCATTTCACTAATTTCATTCCTGCTGTTTGAAGGTGGTTCACAATTTTCTTGTTGCTTAAGCGCATCTAATATGTGTTCTATGCAATGGACTCGCTTGCATAGATCGCCTACCACCATATAAACTTTATCAAATGTTGCGCTAAAGTTTGTAATTTCTTGACGCATTGATATTATTTCCGATTTAAGATCATGCATAATTTGTGACCATTTGTCATCCGAGTCTACAACAGTACTCTAATGGTGAAGACGCTGAAGATTCGCTTTTATTAAAATCTGTTTGTGTCTTAATTGGCGTATCTGAGTTGTCTTTACGCGGCTGTTTGTATACAATACTGTGTGCGGTGTGGGTGTGTGCGGGGTGTGTGGGGTAGAAAAGAATTTGTTTTCGCTGTTCGTACCTGCGCGCCAGAGTACACGAGCAGCTGTAACGCGGCGTGGCCCACTCCGCCGAGGCCAAGCAACAGCACGCGGGGCGCGCGGGGGGAGCGTGCGGCGGGCGGGCGGGGCGGCAGGCCGGCCGCCCGCAGCGCCGCGCACGCCGACAGCGCGGCGTACAGCGCGCCGCCCGCCTCCGCGTCGCTGAGACACGCCGGCGCCGCACTCGCCTATACACACCAAACACCTCTATACTACTACACGACTTCTGTGCCCTTAATACATTGCACACTAAGTAACGCTCGATTCTCCCTATGTATACAATTAGACGGGCTCAACGCCCTTAAGGATTACGATTATTTTAAGATTAGGATATACTAGGATTTTCTCTTGTATCGTGAGGGCAGTTTACATAAACATATATAAATTTCACAAAGACATGATTTTTATTTTTATTATACAAGATTACAAGCCTATTGATGTTCCACAAGACTGCGTGCTATCACGAACGCTGTTTCTTCTGCGTATCAATAATATGTTGCAAACCGGTAAGATTCATTGCTATGTGGTTGACAGCACTGGTGATTACCGGTGAGTACCGGAACAAACTTGTGTCTCAAATTGAGTCTTTGCTGAACAAAGTCTGTGATTGGGGGCGACTAAATTTAATTCAAGGAAGACACAAGTTTACCGCTGAAAATCTTCTCTTATATTATCTATAATTTAAAGGTGTTGGTACATCTTTATAGTCCTTCGAGCTCCGTAGCGGGACCGAAAATTCGAGTTAAAGACCCCGATTAGAGTTTAGTGACCGGAAAGTGTTTCTGCTCATTTTTTTATAACTAGCTTTACGGCTCTGGGTTCTAGCCCTTCTGAGCCTGAAGTTACAATGTATAATTATCCTTACAGTACACTGCTTCACAATATGTTGATGCGTCATATTGTGCAGTCCTTGGGAGATTTTGACGGCAACTTGAGCCAGCAGACAGCTGACAGTTGGCAATGGTATCTCAAGGCACCTAAGAAGACACCTTATCTTGACAATCACATCACCCTCAGAGCACTTGTTTCACCGTTTCCACTAATAGTTCACATGCGTAGACACTTAATACACAAAATCGCACCACTTTTACATATCAAAGTTCACTTCAAACCATTATTTAAACAATAATACAGGAGCAGCAAACCGCCGCCGGTCAAGTTTCCGCCAAAAATCTCGTTTCCACTCAGTGAGCTATTGCGACATAGTGTATTAAGTGACGTGTGCTATAGTTTTCAGTTTGTGCAGCTTCTTATCATTCTCATTAAGCTCCGGCCATCAGTATAAACAAAAATCAAACGTGGCCTCGTTACTCTTACGATTGATTTTTGATTTTGAAGACTCGTCACGACTTGGAGCGTCGCCTAGGAGTAGCATCTTGGAACGTATCAGGAGTACCTAAGTCACGGAACTGATTTTGTTTAATATGATTAAGGAAACGCCGTCATTATTTATGTGCGCACATTATGAATGTGATTAAAGTTTATTTAAGAAAAGTATGTAGCTTTACTTCGTATTTGCCTAAAAACAGTAAATATCGTAAATGAAAAGACAACTGCATGGCAAATTTACCGTGCGAGCTACCCGCCTGTAAGAAGTTCGATCTGGAGGACATTATTATGCACCGTACTAACACCCCATCCATATTATACACCCCCCAGCCGTGCACGTACCCAGCGGTCCCTGAGCACGACGTACTGCGCGTGCGCGCCGGGCCAGTGCGGCGGCAGCACGCCCCACACGCGGCCGCGCAGCCGGCTGCCCGCGCCCGCGCGCACCACCTCGCCGCACACGTCGCGCCCCACCACCAGCGGGAACTCCACCTCCGTGCCCCCCGCACCACCCACGCCCTCCAGCGACCGCGCCACGTTCAGCATGCGCGCGCCGTACCCGCCTGTGCATATGTTTCTACATTGTAACAAAACGAACACCCCGTCGTATTGGAGCACATCCATACACATGAATGAGCAACAGGAAAAGCGTCGAAGTGTCTAAAACACACCCTCTATCGAGTAAACGTACGTACGTATGTCCGTACGTAAGAATATTTTCCGAACCAGTGGTAAATAAAAAATGACTTTCAATTAGTATTATGTAATAATCAATATTGAATAAAAATCATTCTATTCTATTCTATTCTATACTCAATAAAGGATTTTCTTTAATCGCTTCAATGAAAGTTTTTTTTATAGGAGATGGGGCAATTGAGCGTGCGGCTCACCTGATGGTAAGTGACTACCGTCGCCCATGGACTACTACAACACCAGGGGAATTGCAGGTGCGTTGCCGACCTTTTAAAAAGAAGTAAGCTCTTTTTTTGAAGATCCCTACGACGTATCGGTGGTAAACAATTCCACAAACAAGTCGTGCGAGGAAGAAAACCTCTAGTAAATCGCACAGTAGTGGACAGCAAATGTCCAGATAATGTGGATGGTCTAGTGAGCTATGTCGCGATGTGACTTGGTGAAATTTGTCGGCTAGAATCAATCCAAACAATTCCTCAGAGCACTCCCCGTGGTAAAAAAAGGAAGTTACAGCCTATATACACCCCCCTGCTGGGCATAGGCCTCCCCTCATTTCTGAGGCGGTTTTAGGGCAAGGAAATGTCTGCCACTGCCCCAATGCGTGTTGGCGAATTTCACATGTATGCGAAATAATTTTTTTCTTATTTCTTAGACATGCAGGTTTTCTCAAGATATTTTCCTTCACCCAGAGGTGAATACGTGGTAAATCAGCATTTAAAATTGTAATTAGCAATTACATTGGTGCCGGCGGGGAATCGAACCCGGGTTGCCCGCGTACTGTGAAATTCACAGCGAGCGCTAACCATCTGAGCTACCACGGCTCCGTGGTAAATGCGATAGAAAATGCAAAAGGATGCAATATCTCACATGTCGCAATATAACTAAACCTCATAGTAGCATAGAATCATCTTTATTCAAAATTATTACAAGAATACTTATTGAAAATCATTTAAGCTTTACCACTGGCTCAGAAGAAACCTCTGTCCTGGGAATAACCAGCAAGAAACCTAGCGCGACTTTTTTTAAACATTTATTTACAATATGATTTTTTATACAATATTACTATATTATTTTTGACAGATATTTATTTTTGACAGTGAAATATGAAAACTCATAAATACCTAATTAATATCTTAGACCAGGAATTCTTTTTATTTTTTTTATATGGTTTTAACAAATAAAATAAAAACAATTCTTAGCAAAGTAATAACTCCTACTTCCATTTTTATAAAAAAAAAAGAACAACTTTGGTTTTCTATATGTTCTCACAGAATACCAGCATGTAACAGCAAAATAATGCTATGTGAATGTGTTGTATATCATATGGTGAGTGCAGAGAACTGCAGGCTCTTTTAGTCCACTTGATGGTAAGTGGGAGCTGTAGTCCATAGACAATATCCAAAGAAACAAAATGCAGATACATTATCACCCCTGAGAACTAAGATGGAATGCCTTGTCTTCAGTAAAAAGGGCCTCCGGATCTGTGTGAAAAACAGGATCAATAAGCTGATATTTTACTCTCGTATTTTGTGAGAGCGTGGTACTGCCCCGGTCTATCCAACCATTTGTGCTACACCCATAATATAGCTGTAAATGGCTCTACCATGTATAACGCGAGTACATGTGTCACATATTTCTGGCAAGTGTTATTCCTTGTACTGACTAACTTTTGTATCATAAATGATGTGTTTAATACGGACCAAGCATAGCAACATCGAGTGGGTTGATGGAGGTGGTGCGCACGCGCACGAGCAGCTGGTCGGGCGCACGCAGCGGCGGCACGCGCGCCTCGTCCAGCCGCAGCTCCGCCAGCGGCCCGTAGCAGTGCGTGCGCCACGCCAACATCCGCGCCGCGCTCGACACAGCCTCTCGCTGCATCATCCTACCGATCTATACACCACCTACAATACATTCATGGACATTATATACGACAGCGAAATGGAGTTCATTATTACATCTCGCTCTGTGGGTATCATTAGGCTGTCACCAAATATAATGATTATAATAGATTAAACCGTGTAGTGGCGGTTAAGAATATCCACTACCCCATATCTTCCCGTGGGTGTCGTAAAAGGCGACAAAGGGAAACAGGCAGGAGATGGGCAGCAGCATCTTCCTGATAATAGCCAAAATAACAATAAAAAAACTGCGGTTGCCAACCCGCTCGCCAAGCGTGGCAACTATGGCAATATACCCCCCATGAGCAATGACAATAATAAACGGCCCCCAGTCCCCGGCGGCCCCGCTATTCCTGTCTACGGTGGCGACCATGGTAACGGCGGGGCAGGGGGTGCTAAGAATCTCCGGTGGAGGTTCGGTTGCCACCTACGACGACTCGACCTGGCAACATACAACGCACGCACCCTGAGGACTGACGAGAAGATTGTGGAGCTGGAAGAAGAGATAGACAAGTTACGCTGGCATATTATAGGATTATCCGAAGTCCGAAGAGAGGGGGAGGACACGGTAATCCTCGAATCCGGCAACTTGCTCTATTACCGGGAGGGCGACCATCTGTCCCAAGGAGGTGTCGGATTTATCGTCCACAAGTCTCTCGTTAACAACGTTGTAAAGATTGAGAGTGTGTCGACGAGGGTTGCGTACCTTATACTCAGAATCACCAAACGGTATTCGCTGAAGGTCATACAGGTTTACGCACCAACCTCGGCACACCCCGATCAGGAGGTGGAGGAAATGTATGAGGATATCTCTAGAGCCATGCATTCCTCCAAAACCCAATATACGGTGTTAATGGGAGACTTCAATGCAAAACTAGGCACAAGAGAGAACGGTGAGCTGAAAGTAGGGAAATTTGGAATAGGGCAACGGAATCCAAGGGGCCAGCAGTTGGCTGACTTCATGGAGAAAGAGGGACTCTTTATGATGAACTCTTTCTTCAAGAAGCGGCCCCACAGGAAGTGGACCTGGTCGAGCCTCGACGGATCGACAAAAAATGAGATTGACTTCATTATGACGACCAGACGACAACTGTTCAGTGATGTCTCAGTGATCGCGAGGGTGAAAACCGGCAGCGATCACCGAATGGTTAGAGGCACACTGAACCTAAACGTTAAGTTGGAGAGGTCTCGTCTAATGAAGTCAACGCTCCGTCCCCCTCGTGCTCTAATCCAAAGTCCCGAAACCTTTCAGCTCGAGTTACAAAACCGTTTTCAGTGCCTAGAAGACTGCAATGAAGTGGACGATTTGAATGACAAGCTCGTGGAAACTGTCCATGCGGTCGGAGCTAAGTTCTGCAAGACCCGCCGCAGAAGAACACAAAAACTCTCCGATCACACTCTTAATCTCATGGCTGTTAGACGGGAGATGAAGCTACATTCTTCAACAGATTTAACAGAATACAGGCAACTGAACAGACAGATCTCCAAATGCATGCGGCGGGACTTACGCAAATTCAATACAGCTCGTATTGAAGAAGCGATCGAGCGGAACCAAGGCTCCAAAGTCTTTGCCAGAGATCTGTCTGCCAGAAAGCGCCAACTGTCAAAGCTGAGGACAGAATGTGGCAGCATCGTTTCCGGGGCACCTGAGATTTTGAGTGAGATTGAGAGGTTCTATGGGCAGCTGTACACGTCATCGTTGGAACCGCACGCAAGTGTGAGTAACGATCCAAGAGCGAGTCTTATCCGACATTATTCCGATGATATCCCGGACGTCAGTCTGAGCGAGATTAGAATGGCTCTCCAGCACCTTAAAAACGGCAAGGCCCCAGGCGAGGATGGAATTACAGCGAAGCTTCTGAAAGCGGGTGGAAAACCGGTACTTGAAGTCCTTCAGAAGCTCTTTAATTCCGTCCTCCATGGTGGCATTACACCGGAGGCGTGGAGCAGAGGTGCGGTGGTCTTGTTCTTCAAGAAAGGCAACAACGCTCTCTTGAAGAACTACAGACCGATTTCCCTTCTGAGCCGCGTCTACGTGCTGTTTTCGAGAGTCATTACGAATCGTCTCGCGCGCAGACTCGACGACTTCCAGCCTCCCGAACAAGCCGGTTTCCGAAAAGGCTTTAGCACCATAGACCACATACATACCCTTCGGCAAATTGTACAGAAGTCCGAGGAGTACAATTTGCCACTATGTCTGGCGTATGTGGACTATGAGAAAGCCTTTGATTCCGTCGAAATTTGGGCGGTGCTGCAGTCCCTTCAGCGATGCCAAGTTGACTGTCGGTATATCGAAGTGTTGAAGTGCTTGTACAGTAGGGCTACGATGGCTATCCGAGTACAGAACCAGAGTACGAAACCTATCCAATTGCAGAGAGGTGTAAGACAGGGTGACGTCATATCCCCGAAACTCTTCACCGCTGCATTGGAAGATGTTTTCAAGCTTCTGGACTGGAAAGGATACGGTATCAACATCAATGGCGAGTACATCACTCACCTTCGATTTGCCGACGATATAGTCCTTATGGCAGAATCGCTGGAGGACCTCAGCACTATGCTCAATGACCTCAATAGTGTTTCCCAACGGATAGGTCTTAAGATGAACATGGACAAAACAAAGATCATGTTTAATGTCCATGTCACACCTATGCCGGTAGTTGTTGGGAACACTAAGCTCGAAGTTGTTGACGAGTATGTTTACCTGGGACAAATAGTCCGACTAGGTAAGTCCAACTTCGACCGAGAGGTCAATCGACGGATTCAACTCGGTTGGGCAGCGTTCGGGAAATTACGGCACATCTTCTCGTCAGGTATACCTCAAAACTTGAAAACGAGACTGTACACCCAGTGCGTGTTGCCAGTGATGACATACGGAACTGAGACGTGGTCCTTCACTGCTGGCCGGATGAGGAAGCTCAAGGTCGCTCAGCGAGCTATGGAGAGGGCTATGCTCGGAGTTTCTCTGCGTGATAAACTCAGAAATGAGGATATCCGCAGTAGAACTAGAGTGACCGACATAACCCAACGGATTAGTAAGCTGAAGTGGCAATGGGCCGGCCATATAGCTCGAAGAACCGACAACCGATGGGGAAGAAAGGTTCTCGAGTGGCAGCCTCGTACCGGCAGGCGAAGTGTAGGGCGTCCCCCCACTAGATGGAGTGACGACCTGGTAAGATATGCAGGAAGTCGATGGATGCAGGTGGCTCAGGACCGTGCTTTGTGGCATTCTTTGGGGGAGGCCTATGTTCAGCAGTGGACTTGTGAAGGGCTGTAATGAAATAGATTAAACTATACCCAGTGTTACGACCTACGGCTGCTCCCTTAAAGGGTCAAATCCTCAGGGGCCCATGAGCTGAAGACTTCCCGAGCAGACGTAGGTCGGGCCTCAATGTGGCCACGTGGAAATTCCTAATTACAATAAACCAGATGGGAGGACGCTAGAAAGACATAGTACTTACCATTATCCGAAGCTAACTTCGCACCAAGGCTTGGGCAGGCCGTGAGTGTGTGTAATAGTGGATGGCGAGTAGTATACAGTGAGGTGTGAATGTGTGCGGCCTTGTCAAGCATAGGCGACCAGCCGCGGCCGAGTTCCAAGCTGCTCCAAAATGCTGCACCGCTTCAGACTGCTTCGGCGCCGGACCACAATCACTTTCCTCTTTCGTCACGATGACAGTCAATTAACTCTATCGTGCGATTAACTAACTTACAGAAGCCACTAACTATCGCGGGGTATAAGGTTACCACACAAAACGCACACGGAGCCTCTGGACCAAAGGTCGCTACCGTTTCGCGTTGCAACCGTTAGTTCTAGAATATCAGAGGCCGCACTAGCTAATATTGTCGAATGCACTTATACAGATTCTGAGTCGGACCCAATAAGTCCCGGGAAGCTCTCCAGCAGGAATGCGCGTCACAAATCCTAGATCGTATATTTACGGGCCGCACCTAATTATTCCGAGTTCCCTAACAGAATGACAGAGTGCCAATCGTGAGCACTGCCTAAGGACGACTGACTTTTCGCTCGCGACCCGCCCGCTCTTGCCACGCTCGGCCGAACTTCAAACCAGTTCGCACCGAGCCGAGTGCCCTCTGGCGTCGATTCTTGACATTAGCGTTTGGCGCGAACACCCAGAATATTTAAAATATATTTAAACTACAGGAATGAGCTTACCATGCATTGCGTTTACATTGTTAGAGACCTTTTTAAACAAATAAACATCTTAATGAGGACATCAGATATCTCAGTGTCTTCGTTGATGATAAACTGACGTTTGAAAATCATATAATAGCTCTTTCGACTCGAGACAGGAAGGTTTGTTTGTGTTGTAAAGCATCTGCGTGACATATCAGGTTTAAATACTCTGAGATTCGTGTATTATGTGTTATGCCAGTTGCTTATAACATACTGTATTACTTGCTGGTGAAGTGCAGCAAAAACTTTCCTGATCTGAGTTGAGAATGTCCGGTTATCAAAGTAATGTTAAGAAATCCGTATAGATATTAAACAGTTGATTATACAATAAGGACAGTGGACTATTAGATGTATGACAACTTTTCATATTGAACACCTCCCTAACTGTTTATAAAGTAGACACTCTGGCATCTTCACAGTTTAAGAGATTATTGAAACATCAACTCTGTTTTTTCTCAACGTTTTGGGCAATTCGTGAGAACTCAAGTTTACAGCTCCGTCGTTAAATATTGCAATATAAAATAAAAATCAGTGATGGAAGCTAAAAGAGCCATAACAAAATGGTTAGTTACTCTGAGCCGAAATCTTAATCTTAAATCTACTTATATAAAATATATGAATATAGTAGGTAATATCCGTATGCCTCTAGTAGGTAATATTCATATGTATCTATCAGCAAATACATCATACATACTTTGTGAACATCGGTAAAAATCTTGCTGAGTAGGTAATAAACAATTATAACAATAACCATGAATACAGGACCATTTCCTCAACTTTTTTTACTT